GAAGATTCTCGGCTTGACCATTATAAATAGCACCCTGCTGGGGTTTCACTAGCTGTTAGGCACTTAAGAAAGTGGGACATTGGTGAAAAATCCTTTTTGATCTACTTGTTAAAAAAAATTGGGAAAAAACAATCATGGGTTTTATAAAAATTAGTTTCTCCTAAAAGCCAAGGGGAAAATAGAACTTTTTTTATTTATAAAAAATATGATTTCTCAGTAAAAGAGAAACAGAATAAATGAAATGTTGTTTCTCCAGATACAGAGCGCAGATAACATCAACAAAGTTTATTCTAATTGTAAAAGTCCTGTTAATGTGTTGAAAAGGGCCTTAATTTGAGATTTTAAGATTTTTCAAAATTTTGAATCAATTTGAAAGTGATCTATAAAAATATTCATATAAACATGGTAACAAAATGAGAAAAAGGTAGGAGACACTGACAGGGATGCTTATAAAAGAAGGGGGTAGACTTGAAATATATTTAACTAATTAGTTTAGACATTAAAGGTGATTGATGTTTATCCTAAAATGAATAATTATTGCTGTATTGTATCAACTATTACAATGCATGCATACCTCACTATTAGCTCTGTTTATGAACTTAATATACATCTATTTCATACTTTTCATAATAACTTTTTCATCTTTTTTCCAAAAAAAAAAAAAAAAAAATTAAAATCTTCAATATTTCATTATTTTAAAAACCAACAAAAACATCATTTGTTAAATTGTTTATGGACCAACAATTAGGTTTTAAATGGCTAGAGCTATTTATACAGCTAGCTAAATACTACACAATGTATTTGCAAGTTTGAACAATTTTGTAAGGTAGCATGTTTTGGATGGGTTTATTCAGAAAGTAATTACAGCTAGCTATTGTCTGGACACCAACTGTTTTACCTGTGTTTTTGTTATCTTTGATGTTTACTTTGTATGTCTGGGGTGCTAATGACTGGCCTATTAAATATTTAGGTACTAATGGTGTAGTGGAATGGGTGGGGGTATATAGTTGGGGGNTCCCACCTGGTCACTGGTGCAGCTGCTGGATCAATACCAATTTTTACCTGTAATTCTATCCAGGTAAATGTATTTACCTGCTGTAATTAAGTCCTATAAAAGGTGTACAAAGTGATTTGAATGGCCCTAATAACACTTAAAGTTTGATGGTATGGTATAGCGGGAAAGATACTTTGTAATGTACTCGAGGTCAGATAGTCCAGAAAAAAACCTAGATCAAGGGGTTTGTAGGTTAAACAGCGGTACTGGTAACTAGTAGTCTACATCTGACAGACAGAAGGTCACAAGTTTGATTCCAGCAAGCCTACAAAACGAATTATATTACTGTTGCTTGGCATGCTCCAAGTCACATGGTGCTCCGAAGGTTGGAAATACTAGACCAGATTCTGGTAGTTATTCCCAAAACTGGCTGTAATGTCAATTAATTGGAGCTCAGACTTCCCGAAATACTTTTTCTCCAATACAGGTTATTCGACTTTTTAAAATATTCATTTCATTACTAGATATTTCTTTTGATTTTTTCATTAATCAATGAAGTTCCAAGCCTAATTTAAAAGCAAAATAACAAATGAAGTTTTCATTATAATGAAAAAATTCCAAAACCTCAATTGTTATTTATTTTTCTAGAGAAATCAGGGCTATTATAACGATAATAAGTGTCAATGCTTTGGTGGCCTTGTAAGTTTCTGTTTCTAATAAAGAAGAACTGACACCCCATTTTTAACTTAAAAGTACAAATTCGGCTCCAACAATATTTTGTATTACAATATTGTACAAGTATTTTTTATAATTTATTTCCTTTTCATCTAAACCATCTAAAAAAACTTGACATATTTATCTATCAGATGTTTTATTACTGGTGTAAATACACTTACGATAACATAAAATTTGCATTTTATTTAATATCAAAATGGAGACCTAAATGATATTTACCATAAAAAAGTAATGAAAAGACACTTAACATGGAGAAAGGAACACCTAGACATTGTGAAAATATTATTATTATTGAACATGAATGCTGTATTTTTTCACATCAAATTCAGCTTTCGGGGCAACAAAACCATGAAAAGTTAAATTTTCCTCCTTAGAACCATCACCATTCTAAAATAGAACAAAAACGAATATTATCAAAATCTACTTGGATATTTTTCTAAAAGAAATTAATATTTTTACCCGAATTATATGAATATACCGCGATGAATGACTTAAAATTTTGTTTAGAAAACAAATCAACTGCTTTTATGAATTGTTACAATTAATGTCCATGCAGAGCCTTGTAGGCTTTTAGGTTCAGGGTTTTGATCTTCTATGGAGAAGCCATTCTCTCGAAAACTCAAAACTCGGTGTATGATTTGAGGTGCAAATACAATATGGCATTTGACTCCGAAATCAAAGGCTTGTTGATTCTCCTCACATAGAGAGGAAAATAAGACTTGAATAATGAGCTGAAGCATCTGATACGACTACAAACAGCCCCAGTCTATTTGTACGGAGCTGGTCAATGCCAGGTCAATTACAACTGTTATTAATAGTAAGGCTAACAGCACATGTTACCAATGAACGAAATGACAGTAACAGGTCGGCTCCAATATACATCACATGACAACACAGATATATGGTTTCTTGTGTCCATGAATGCAATTTAGGTCATTAGGAAAATAAAAAAGATGAAGGAGCTAGACTACCAGTAAATATAATTACCGTATAACACAAAAAATACGCACAGGATCAATATCAAACAAATAGTGTCCAGGCACATATTCATACACATACACATACATACAGTCCATATTTCTGACAATTTCAAAGGACTTCACTTAACATAGCTGTTATCTATAACTATCATTGATGCCATTATGCTGTAAAATGCAGATGTTATAATTTAAGAGCATTAAGTCTGCAAAATATTGAAATCCGACACAATTGTCTTAAAAAAACCCTAATGCAAATAAATATTTTCACACTGTTTTGAAATAGATGTACCTTCTAATTGTCAGTATATGAACCAACAATTTCAGGATACCTTTAACTTATTAACACTCTAACACTATGTCAGATAGTGGGAACACTTAAACTAGTCAAACAACATCAGTATCAAAATTATCTGTTGCGTTCCATATTAACCCCCCCCCCNAGGCCCATGGCTGGTGATAAACCCACTAGTTCATTAGAAACGACAACAAATTATATTCCATTGTCTTATAATAAACCCCTGCTCTTCACTCACAGGTTGTATGTATTCAGCCCCTGGGTTTATTGCAGGATCACTACGGTACATTACAAAGGAAATGCATAGGTATGCATATATATATATTAAATGTATATCAAATTGATTGTAAAATTATCGAAGGCTTAAGGTAGTTTTATTTGTACAGCATACTGTCAAATTTGTGGGGAAAAGTGAGGATTTTTGACTTGATAACTCAAGATTGTGATTGAAGTTTAAAGACCATTCAGTAATCATTTTGCATTCATTTTTGAAAACAAAAATGCCCCCAGAAATATTTGATTGCATGAAAGTCCCCAAAAACTGTTTTAATATGTTTTATTAAGAGATATATACTTTCAATTCTTCTGAGAATTTCTAACACAAAGTATTTATTCTAATACATATAGGCGGCTATGTTATAAAATATATTTTGGATTAGAGTTTTCAAGGAGATCTATTTAGATAACTTTTAGTTTGTGTGTAACATTTTTTGAAATACATCGTGTCATTTAAGTTTTAGAAAGAGAAATAGTTTCAATTACTTCAAGAATTTTTAACACAAATTATTATTCTAATACAGAAAGTTTATCTGGTATTTATGGTGGTTATAATGTTGTAAAGTATTTCCGTGGATTAGAGTTTTAAAGGAGAGTTCATGTCCTATAGTTTGTATGCTGTACGTTTCTGTAGTGATGAACAATTATGTTGACTGAAGACCTATTGTCACTGTCACAAACTGTTGAATGAATTAGTAAATAAATAAACACGAGGGCCCTTGTGGACAATTAAACGGCCTTCGTTAAGCTAAATTAACATCATTTTTAAAATAGTTTCAATTCTCATCCATTCATTTATAATTAAATGATAACATACACCTTTTCAAAAAAATTGAAATATTTGTTCTTCAAATAAGAACTTTCTTATACATTATGAAAACATCTTTGATGTTTGTGCACTCATTTAAGACTATAAAATTTAATTTGAAGCTTTAGCTCGTAATCTGACAAATTCCTTTCAAACTGAAGTAGTACTGTAGGTTGGTCTTTTACCGGAGTGGAGCAAATACGTTAAGAAAACATGACAAGTTTTGGGGCGATATTCAACTGTCCTCTCTGATAAGCATAAGTTTTCAAGCCTTTTAATGATAGTGAATGGAAGGCTCTGCTCACATACCTATTTAAGTGGTAAAATCATTAGAACCCATTGAGGCGGTCGCGGGACATGTATGTGGCTATGAGTGGGACTTTCTAATAGGTCACAGTATACTGACATGAAAACTACATTTACCTGAGCCGTAAGCAGCCATAATGTCAATTACCTGTTATTTCCACAATGGGTCGTTCTGATTGGCTGAAGTCGAGTGGGAGGGTGGGTCACCTGTGCAGGTAGAGAATCTTAGGTGTAAATACTAACAGAGGAGACAGGTGAGCTAGGGAAAGCCTTCTGGATTTTTACAACAGGAATATATGTACCTGTATCGGAATATACACGGGCAATACTGGACACACACAGGTAAAAACACAGGTATAACATAACGGTCAGTATACACAAAACTAGCATCAACATTTGCTTTTACTCTTAACAGATACTAGCCACTAAAAAGTTTCATTATAAAAGGATCACAGCATTTGATCGGAAGGATTACAAGTTTTCATACAAGACATTTATTGTGAATGTTGGCCGAGTCAGGCCCATTTTACAGGTGTTAGTCAGGCAGGTAGATAAGCATCGTAGGTAAAGAGAGAAACCAATATTGATGTTAACATGTCTTTTCAGGAGTACCCCCACCTACAAGCGACAACGGGCAGGGAACACATGGACTGATATACAGGCAGAGGTTTACATGGACAAGGGAGCACTTTTGAACAAGTCGACCAGATGACTTCGACAAAATGTTGTCATTTAAATTCCCTTTGGTGCTATTTTGTGTGTTTCTGACGATTTTAACAATTTTCGCAAAGGATTTAAATTATCCCATTCCAGAGGAGGAATACCCTAACTATTACATTGGAAATATTCGGGAGGATTTTAATTTATCTTCATACTTCTTAACTGCTGAATTGGACGATTATGAAACCTTGAAATATAGCATTCTTTCTCAGACAACAGTTCCGGCATCCTATTTCAATATAAATGAGTGGTCAAGTTCTCTGTTCACAAGTCAAAAACTTGACCGGGAGTCGCTTGACCATTGTGAATTCTCCACTGTCTGTGAGTTAGCCATCGATGTAATTGCTAAGGGAAGTAAGAGTACTTTTTTCAAGAAGATAAAAGTAAATATTTTTTTACTGGACATCAACGACAACACTCCTACTTTTACTGTGAATAGGACTAATCTGGAAGTATCGGAAGCATTTGTCGTGGGGTCCTCTATACCAATAGATGGCGCTGTCGACAGGGACAGTTCTGTTAACTCTGTTCAAAGTTATAATATTTCGGAACGAAATGTGCCATTTTCTGTGAAATTTGATAAGTATGTTGATGGGAGTTCTTCCGTGAAAATTATTATCGACAGTAAGTTGGATAGCGAGACTAGGAATTTCTACCGATTACATGTTTTGGCAATAGATGGCGCTGTTCAGCAAAGAACTGGTACCATGACTGTGGATATCAAGGTCACAGATGTCAACGACAATGCTCCAGAATTCAGCCAATCGGTGTACAATGTCACTATAGGGGAGGACACTCGGGTTGGTCAGGTGATCCTGAAGGTCACCGCCACGGATGCTGATTCCGGGGCGAATGGTCAGGTGCTCTATCGCCTCAGTCCCCACCAGCTTTCGGTCATCCACACTTTCTTTGCTATCGATAATATCACGGGAGAACTCAGTCTGGTTCAACCACTTGTGTACGAACGTGGCGAAGTCTACCAGATATTTATCGAGGCCACTGACAATGCCACAAAGCCAATCTTCACACAGGCCACAGTTTATGTTAGTATCCTCGACTCGAGCAACGATCCTCCAGAGATTAATATCAACTTGCTTTCAAACGCAGATGTGGCCAAGATTTCGGAAGATGCCAACATTGGTGCAGCCGTCGCTCATATTGGTGTAACTGACGATGATAAGGGAATTAACGGAATTGTAACTTGTCGGGTTCAGAGCTACTATTTCACTTTGGACGCTATCGGAACTAATGAGTACAAGGTCGTTGTCCATAAACCTCTCAACAGGGAGCTCATGGAAAAACACAGGGTCAAGGTCATATGTGAGGACTCTGGAAGTCCATCTCTGAACTCAACAGCTGAGTTTGAAGTGAAAGTTTTGGATGAAAATGACCATGCGCCTAAGTTTACACAGCAGGTGTATCGGCCGGACATCGCGGAGAACAACCAGTATGGTGCCATTTTACTCAAAGTCTCAACCAATGACTTTGACGCGGGAATCAATGCCGAGGTTATATACTCGCTTGTTCCGACAAACAACGACAAATTTTCTATCGACCCCGACTCAGGTGAAGTGTTCGTGAATGTTCACCTTGACCGTGAAAATGTAACCCAGTTAGAATTTGTTGTCATAGCAACAGATAAGGGAATACCCCCAAAAACTGGAACTGCATCTGTTAGGGTCAGAGTGCTGGATGAAAATGATAATCGACCAAATTTTTCAGAAACTGTTTACACATTTTCAGTGAGAGAGAATTTAAGTCCAAGAGTACATGTTGGAACCCTTTCTGCTTCAGACCCCGATGAAGGTCAAAATGGATCCGTAGAATTCATGATGCTACCAGAAATGTCGGGAAGTTTTCCATTTATTGTGTATGGTAATGGATCTATATATACAACACAAGTTCTCAATCGGGAATTACAGCCGCATGGATATAACTTTCGAGTAATTGCGTACGACCTTGGCTCCCCTTCACAGAACAGCACCTCCCATGTGACAGTATTTGTTGGTGACATCAACGATAACGGACCAGTCATTGTCTTCCCGACGTTTGACAATAAAACTGTCAAGATCGTTTACAATACAGGAACTGACCATGTGATCGCCAAGGTGATTGCATATGACCCTGACCTTGGTGGTAATTCTAAGCTCTCCTATACAATTTTAGGGGATGATTCGACAAACCCATTTTACATTGACGAAAACACTGGGGAGATCTACTTAGCACAGCCCCTAGGGATCTCTGACATTCAAACTTACACTTTCACCGTCCTTGTGGAGGACAATGGGATACCAAGGAGATCCTCCATGCAAAACCTTACCATCATTGTCACAACCCAGGGGGGTAGTGGTGGTGACACGCCTTCTGACACAGACAACCTTGTCATCGCTATAGTAATAACCTGTGTGACCATTGTGTTGTCAATGGCGATAATCCTGGTAATCTGTATAATTAAACGGATAGACAGACAAAGGAAAGCGATGAATAAAAGTGCAGGTAGTTCTGATTCGGACGACAAGCGGAGGGACATGTATGATGCTATTTCTCGTAACGTTGACAACGACAGCCGAGACCGAGCAGAGAAAAAAGTGAGTTTCTCTGTGGACTCTGATCCCAACCTCATCATATCAGCATCCGACACAAGCTCAAAGTTTCCGAACACAGCTCTTGGCGTGGAAGAGGTAAGAATGAATTTCATCTCTCACACCCTCGATAAGATAGACCTCTCATTCCAAATAGCATTACACAGCAATACTGTAAAAACTTTCCCTCGCTTTGAAAGTCAAATACAATTTGTGATTCATGTATAAATCGTGTTGATACATAATAGTCCTCTGCAAGGAGTGTGTTCGGTCCCATATTTACACTTTCACAATTATAGCAATTTATAACTGTAACATGTATTTAATGAACCCGGATCTCCACAACCCTATGTAAGATGACCTTTTAACCTCTATACATGTACCTATATATTCTCACAATTTGCCTTTTAATTTAACTATCAAGATTTACAATATTTTTGAAATAAATGTTCAGGAAAAGATTATTTTCAATGTGTTTTTCACAAGAATAAATCTGACAATTCACTAAAAGTGAGTGAAATTTGAAATTCTTACTTAAAATTTATACCTTAACAAAAAATAAAACAGGTAAATTTCACATTGCAATTTATGCAGGTTACTTGATACGATTTGTAGCCATGGACCTTGAACTTGCCTTATAGCTGTGTTTTTCATTTTGGATTTATTAGTATTCAGACCAGATAAGCATCTATGTGCAGTGTACATACAACAACCGAGAAATTTCTTGAGATTTTTTTTATGATTTGGTAGCGGTAGACCAAACAGTTTGCTTGCCTTTAGTAAACACGATCAAAATGAATTCAATTTGTAAAACCGCTGCCTCATACGATGTGGATCCTCTACAAAGTCGTGTGACGGCCTTTCAAAAGAGTTGTACCTGGTTTTTAACTTGCTTTGTACATGTGTAATTTACAATTCCTATAAAGATTTATAAATCCAGTTTCGCCATTTCATTTTACGTCTTTTAAAATCCCAACCTCTCCGTAGGTACTTCCCTTGACTGACAAACAGTATTTACCTGTCAACACAGGTGAGAGCCAGCCTGTGAGAGGGCAGGTAAAAATGCATTTGGATGCATGTTTCGTGTCGTAAGCATTTCCTTTCGTATCAAAGGCTATGTGGAAAACCATTTCTCAAACAGGAACCAATCTCTTTCAGATCAAACATTTTTTTTCTCTCACATTTTCAGAAAAACTATCAGGTACTTGAAACTTTTTCTTGGCGTGTGACGAAGCACAATTTATTTTGTTTTACCTGTACAAAGAACTAATACATATCATTTAAACACAGGTGTTTTCCTTTCATGGGAATTGGATTTTTTTTAAACATTTATAAGGAAAAATCTTAATGTCTATTCAAATGAATAATTACAATTTAATATGCCAAGTCATTGTTTGGTAATGGGTGAATTTCATTCAGAATTAAAAAAAAAATGTATTTTCTATTTTAACTTTCAATTTGGGGTTAAGTTTATAGAAGAAGTTAAACCGTTTGGTGATGGTGTTTAATGGTGTTTGTTTCGTGTCAACAGTATTCTGTCTGCCTGATACATGTATGATTTTTTTCACCTCATATATTTTCCTTTAAAATACACATTAGATATTGTTATGGTATTTGGCTGTGATGTTTGTCTTAAAATTTCATCAATTTTATTCCCTTTTTTATCAATTTTAATCATTAGTGTTATCAAAAGCACTGTATTCGATGTAACTAGTCAATAGATCAGCTGCAGTGTTTTGTTATTTATTTACACAAACTTCTGATATTTTTGTGTTTGCATTTTGTCACTCAAAATTATTATACCTGAAACTTAACTATACAGCCCATGCATGATGAACTAGTCACGATACTTGATCTTTTGTCTCCCATATGTCAGTAACATTAATTGTGACGTATTGAATTCATATATCTTTTATATATATTATTGAAATGTGAAGAAAAACGGCGACTAAGGTTAATATAAAAAAAAAAAAACGCTAAGAAGATTTCCTTATTAACGATAACAAATATTGTGCGGCATTCCGTCAGTCACTGAAGATGTTAGCTGTCAGGCAGGTTGACAGAACGGCCCCCCTAGGGCCCAATGATGACAAAGTCAGGTTCAGCTTATTTATGTTGACCTGATATGGTAGTATTGCTACCTGGAGACAGGTATGGTTATTGGACAATATAAACCAATTAGTGGTAAGTCATACCTGTACCTATGACAGGTACATAGCCTAATGAGACAGGTAGGAAACTTATACATACCGTAAATATTTACTGCTGTTTTTTCTTTGTTTTTCAATGACTAATCAAGATATGATTTTTTTTTGAACTCTGTGATGTTATTTTCTAGCCTAAGTGGAAAAAAATGCTGTTTTTGAGAGACATATTTAGTAAATACCTACCATGATATTCCTGAATTAGTGCAGGTCAACCTGCAAATGACTTCTGACATGACCTGTAGAAATTGTAGTGACCTTGGAATCTCCTGCATTTGCACTGCTAACCCAACATTAAACATGTTTAGGAATTACTTCTTTTTAAAGCTGTAAATATCTCCTTAGATAAGACACAGTATAAATATATTGAAAGGCAAATTTAATAAGAGAAATGCCATTCTAGTGATTTTGATGACTTTGAAAAGTTGATACAGAAATGACCTGCAAATATAATTTAGCAGGCTTAATTGGTATTTTGAAAATCTAGCTATGACTCTCATTTAATACATTTGACTTGTACCAGTAAATGCATTATCCTTGGTTAGGGTAACTTGGGCGAGGGGGG